CCACCCCCAGCCCTATGCCCCCACCCCCCAGCACTAAGTCCCACCTACACATGGCCCCCCTCCCAGCATAGACCCGGTGGGCCATGCTCGGGGCCGCTTTTCAGGGGGACAACTGTACCAGGAATATATAGAGAGGAAGAGCTGGACTGACGGCCCGGAACAAGTCCGTCCCCGCCACCCCCCCCACTACACGTTGGCTCTCCCATGATGATGATGAATACCAATAAGATTTTATTCTGCAAAGGGCGCTTTTATATTTCCCAGAGCCGTCCTCATACTGATTGTTGTGTCCCCGTTGGGGGCTTTCCCCTTCCCTCCCATCAAATAGACAGGAAGTGAGGAGAAAACTCCCACACGGGGACACAGAGATACATAAAATAACACAGCAGAGAGGGGATGGGTCACAACTTCTTTTATTGCCGCTTCTGACTTCCTGTCCTGGTGACAACCCCCTCCCCCATTTCTTGTCTTGGTGTCACAGGGACAGGAAGTGAGGACAAATCACTGGAACGGAGTCACATACAGAAAAACAATAATGCAATTGATCCAAGCTGCTTTATTCACGACGCCCCCAATTCTTCAAGCGCCACATCGCCCCCTCTCGTAGTTAACCCTGCAGCCCCCTCCCCCCTCATCTCTAATTAGGCCAAACAGCTGAAGCCATATCGCATGATACGCCCCATGCACGTTACCGCAGCGCTCGGTATCCCCCGTTTATTTACCTTCCCCCCACGTGGACCTCGAGCTACGCCGCACGCACTGATGACGTCACTGCTCGGCCCAGGAGAGGTTATTTTTAGCTCGCGCGCCCATTGGTTTGCCCGGGTGCCAGTCAGTCATCGAGCGTCCAATGGCTGCGGGTTTTAGAGGAGGGCGGGACCGGCCCGGGGAGCCTGCGGGCCAAGGCGGCGTGTGGTTGCCAGGGAGACGAAAGAGCGCTCTATTGCGGAGGGGGCGCTCGGGGGGAGCCATCAGAGTGCGCGGATTGGGCACACCGGTCCCTGCAAGTGAATGATGCATCCTGACCGACCTCATTGACATATGAAGGTGCCACACATGGAGCGATCTGTGATGGGTGTCAGTAAACAAATGAGATGTCACCCGTTCCAATATCAAATCATGAAAAACACAGGCACTGCAGAGCAATGGAATGAGCATGGCGGCGCTCTGCGTCATGTGTGGCGGCGCTCTGCGTCATGTGTGGCGGCGCTCTGCGTCATGTGTGGCGGCGCTCTGCGTCATGTGTGGCGGTGCTCTGCGTCATGTGTGGCGG